CCCAGGTTGAAAGGGTTAATTCAAAGATTAGTTAAAGACACCTTCTTCATTGGAAAGTTGTTTCAACTTCCTATTTTAATTAATATATATAATTTAATATATAATGCATAGTGTAGAAGTTTGTCTTTTTTTTAGAGTTTTGCTTTTTTTTTAACCATCAATTTTCTCTGTTTACTACATAGGAGGTTGTAAGCAAACTTTTAACATCACTGTTAGAATCAACTTATGGAAGTCTTGAGAAGCCAGAACAAAGGAACAGAGATCTTAAAGCTACAAAAACATTTGATAGGTCACCCTCTTTCATTGAAAAGGATGATAATGGAGGTTTGAACCAGAAAACTTACAGCTCAGAAGTTAGTAGTAAACTTAATTCAGAACTAGTCGAACATAGTACTGATAGACCAAGCAAGCCTGTTGTGTTTGATCATGTGAAATGTAGAGATAAAAACCATATGGAATCAGCAAATGAGATACTTGAAGGAAGTATAACCCATACATCTCTCCATAAATCTATATCTTCATCAGAAAACCTGAATGCTGAAGATAGTGACTTGTTTTGCCCTGATACAAGTTACAATGTAGACGAGTCTGTTGTCAACTGTGTTGGTCTTCAAAACAATGAAAGTGAACATACTGGTTCAACTAAACCTAATGATGAAGATCATATTTCTTTGCTTAAAGAAATTCCAGAATTTTTTGACATCAGTGACCAATCTGTTGCCAACTGTGCTAGTCTTCAAGACAATGAAAGTGAACATACTGGTTTATGTAAGCCTAATAATGAAGGTCAGATTTCTTTACTTAAAGAAATTCCAGAATTTTTTGACAGCAGTGGCTCAGAAAATATGTTAACAGAAAATATGCATGAGTATTCTGATGATCGAAGCAATCCATCATCTATTAATAAAAACACCCTCAGTTGTGGCAGATTTACTTATCATCAGTCCAGAGCACCAAACTGTGACAAACCAAATGAGGAAGCAAACACCAGTACTGTGGAAGATAAAAGTTATAGAAGGGTCTCATCAACACTTGAAGATACAGTGGACAGTAGTTTGTCATTGAGTAAGTCCCCTAATCAAGAAAAAACAGGAGAAAGTCATTTGTGGTCTGGTGGATTCTTAAAAGACCAACAAGGGAAACTAATACAGGTAAATGTCATCATACAGTTACTGTTGTTCAATGATTTAGGTAAGTTACTTGTAGCCTGTTAGGAAAGCTAAAGATTAAAAAAAGAAAACATGAAAAAAAGGTTTGTACCAATTTTATGCAGCATATCCAAACCTTAGATAAAATATATAAATATATGTAATTTTATAGAAAAACAAAAAAAAAAATATTGCAGCATATTGGGGAACAAATTATAAGGTGGGTCATCATGTAATGTGTCCTGGTTTTTTGAGGTACTGGCAGAAGTAAGACTCAAATTGTGTTGGGGGCACAACATCTATCTTGTTTAACCTCAACTTTGCTGTCCTCACATGCTTAAAAAAAAAAAAAAATGGAGCAGATGTGCATGCTCTAGCCCACGATGTTCTACATCTTTACCACATTTTGGTGTCTTCAGCCAGATGTGAGAAGGTGGTTGCTCACAAAAATAAAAAATAATAATAAGAAGAAAGAAATAACAGAATACAAAACATCAATGGGGAAGACAGCAAAACTGCCCTTGAAGTTAGCATTCAAACCCCCAATTTGATGTTTGGACATAAATACCAAGATGTTAAGGTATTACCATACCAAGCCCAACCAAAATATTAATATAGCTCACATCCTCTGCCCTTTCCATGCTACTATCTGGATCTTCAGTGGTTCTAAAGAGATCAACACAGTAGCAGGTCTTATATAGGGAAGGTGATGCAGCTACGTTAATCCACCTATATAAGATATGAAATGTCTAATAAGTAATTCCAATTATTTCTTTAACAATAATTTTAGAAATTATTTTAGTGTGCTATTATAATTTTGTTTAAATCACTATTTTCAAATTTATATAAATTCTTTTTATATTTATTATAAAATAATTTAAAATATTTATTTAAAGTTTTCTCATCAAACCCATTAAAGATCAGCTTGTGTACTAATTTATTAATATTAGATATTAAGAGCTGTGAATGTATAATGCTCTGTATGGCATTTTTTGGTACATGCTGTTTGGAGAGATAAGTCCAAAAAATTTGATATGTAAAATCATTTCTTTTATCATGAATATTAATATTACAATAATTATTAATTATCTTAACATCTAAATCTCAATAATGTACTTCGGTATTTGATATAGAAGTGTTCTCAATCTATAAAACTATAGGGTAAAAGTTAACAATATATGTACTTATTCCTGCATTATTAATACTAGTCAAATCATCAGTATGGATGTATGTTAAGGATAATAATTTTGGATTTGGAAAATTATTTATGAATTTATTTTCCTCATAATAAAGATATAAATTAGCAATACAGCTTGAATAATTATAACCCATACCTATTATTTATAAATTTACTTAATAAAATAAATATAATTATTATATACCCAAAAACTGAATATGTTTTTGATCTTATTAGCAGTAAAGTTTGTTTTTCTATTTCTATGGGCAGATCTATAAATTTACCTATTAATGAATTTATCACTATTATCAAATTGGTTATTATATTTTGCTTTTTCTTTAGTTTAAAAAATGATGAGGCTCCTGAGCCAGATAATATTTCCCCAATGGTTTTGAAGGAGGTTAAAGATTGGATATGTGAGCCACTTACTACTATTTTTTATGAATTGTTGAATAGTCGGAAGGTACCAAAGGACTGGAAGTTAGCTAATGTAACTCCTCTTTTCAAGGGAAGTGATAAAAATTGTTCCAGTAATTATAGACAAATTAGTCTTAAACCAGTTGTGGGAAAAGTTGTGGAAAGTCTGTTAAAAGATGCTTCACTAAGGGAAAAAGTTGCCTTACAAATAATTTGACATTCTTTGAAAAGGTTACTGCTTACGTAGATGAGGGTAAGGGTGTAGATTTGGTGTATCTGGATTTTCAGAAAGCATTTGACAAGGTACCACAGAAAAGGCTTGTAAAAAAATAAGCTCTACAGGTGTGGGGGATAAGTTAGCAAATTTGATAGAAGAGTGGCTAATTATCTTTGATGTTTTTCTGTAGCATAAGTTTTCGTTGTTTTCATATTAGTTTGAAGTAGCTTTTGTAATGGTTCTTTATACTTTGATAAATTTGGCATTTAGTTGTTAGCAGTGACAGATTGAAGCCAGAAAAGAAAGCACATTAACTCATTGTATAAACTTCTCTTGAATAACTCATATTTATAGAATGGTGACTCATCAGGTATATTTCGTAAAAGCTACACATGGGACTTAAATCACATAAAAAAAAGGATGGCTGTAATTTCACAGTGACAACAAATTATGAAATGGTAATGAAATGCAAAATATTGACTGTAAGTTTATGTTTATCTAGTGAAGTTTATGTTGTAGGAACAAGGATCAATTTCATTCTGTGAAATTCTGCATATTTTGTTATTTCTCATAACTGTTATTTAAAAATATTCATGTCACATGCATATTTGGTCTTTAATTAGGTAGAACATGAAACTTAATTCTGATACAATATCTTATCTACTCCCACGAATAGCATTTATCAACTTATACTGCCTCTATAGGTGCAAATTTTCACTTGCCACTAGCCTTGATACTCCCACCTACTCTCATGTGTATTCACATGAGACATCTGCATGATATCATGCAACAACCCTCCACCAATAGGAGTGCAACACAGTTCCTATCGTAATAGTGCCTTCTTTTCTGGGCATCCCATAATCACTTCTCAATTGGCAGTCATACATATAGGATGTGTTTTTCACTCATGCTTTATCTACTGATGAAGTTATGGTTCTGGTTTGAAGGGAGTTGGCTATGCTTATGCAGTCTTCTGAGTCACCGAATGATTGCCCACTAATACCATGTATAGGTTTGCTGAAACATGAGGATGATGTTTTGACAGCCTGTTTCCTCCTCCTGCCTATGCCTCATATTAATTTTAATTTCAGGGGAGGTGCCCAGGCCTTCTTCTCCCTTTGTCAACTTAATAAATTAGGTTTGTTATATTCTATCCTTGTCCCCCATTTCCTATGTTTCATCACCTGCGCTTCCGAGCGATGTACTCATAGACCAGTATTTAGTGTTTCCTTTCTCACCGGATATTGGGGTTCATGAGAATCATTTTAGGGACCAGTTATGTTTGAGAGTCAGTATGTTGTGACCCCATACTCTGGAAGACCATGCTTTGGCATATCACCATTCTGAGTTTCCCTACTTATACTCACAGCATTTAAGAGTCATTTGTTCCTTTATGGGGTTCATACACTAATTCTTCGTTTACCTTCTCACAGCCACAGTTTTCCCGAATTCGTCTCACCCTCTCCTCCCTGCTTCATTCCATGTCCTCCCTATACCAGCTATTCATCATTCCCTTGAGAGGTTCTCGTTGGAGACTCGGGTTCTCCTCTTTACAACCATGGCACACCTCTCCTCTTCTGCTCTTTCCTTGCAAATGTGGCTTCTCTGTTGTTGGAAACTTCTGGGTTGGGATGCCCTTTTGTCGAGGGTACATTTGCCTCCCTCATTATGGGATTTTGCCTGGCTCCTTTTCTGTGCCAGGAGGTTTTGGGGGCATTTCCAACTCTTTGGAAAACCAGAGTTGAATCTGCAAAGTTGCATTCCTCCATTTCTTCATTGGCCTCCCATTTATTCCAACCCTCTCCTCCTTCCTCTCCCTGTGTCTTACTCTCCTCCTTCCTCTCCCTTACCAGCCCCGGCCTCTCGTATTTCTGAGGTTTGTTTTCATTACTTGGGATACTATCCTAGATGCAACTGATGGTCTCTGTGACTACATAATAGGTTTGGATCCTGTGGGGGCCAGGATCCTCCACTTTGCCCATGTTTGGAGGTCCTTTATCATAGATCCTTGGTTTCTGTGGATTATTTCCGGCAGTTTAGTCTTCCATTTCGATTTTTTCTCCTTTGTTTTCTCAGCATCCTGTTTCCTTCCCTCCCCTTTGGGATCCCTTACATCCAGACATTACCTTTGTTTTGTCCATCAGGATTGTTTTGTTTTCAGTTGTGGGCGCACTATGTTTTTTTGTTAGGTGGTTAGAGCATTTGCCCATCTCCATCATTCCTAGGGCCTTTGTTTCTACCATTACATAGACAATTGGCTACTTCTAGCTCTTTTCCAGGCCACTTCTGCCCTTCATACCCAGTTTCTCTTACTAGAAGCTGCTTGGGTTGGTTGGTTTGTGAAAGTGGAGAAAACTTTCATCACCCCCATCTTGAGATGAGGTATTGTTCAATTCCCACCTCAGTTGGGCCCAACATTCTTCCCTGTGTTTGCAGGCTATGGAGCTACTGGTTCTCAACCTATCCTCCTCTCCTTCTTCTACTACATGAGAAGTTCTACCTCTTTTATGGAAGTGGATTTCCATGGAAGCCCTCATCATTCTTGGTTGTGCCCATATGCACCATCTCCAGTGAGCAATGATGGACCAGTGGAGCCTCATTCAGAATCCCTTGGATGCCTTTCTCTTCCTTTCTTTCAGACTGACTACACCTGGTAGTTAGATTGAGATAACACCACTGTGGGTGTTCCTCTTTCTTCTCATCTGAAACATCACCTCTGTATTAATGCCTCTTTTTCATGTTGGGGTGCCTGTCTGGATGCTCAGGAGGTCTTGCCAGTGGACTCTATCGAAATCCTCTCTCCATATCAATTTCTTGGAGCTCCTCACAGTTTGTGGATATTGATTCATTTCCTATCAGTTCTTCATGGCCGCTTAGTGATGGTTCCTTCCAATAACTCAACTGTGGTCTCGTACATCTCCGGGCAAGGGGCACTCGGTCAAGATCTGTCTACTTTCAGACTGGACTTCTGGTATTGGGCCCATAGCCTCATATTCATTTGATGGATTCTCATATACCTGGTGCCCTGAATCTAATTGCAGATTGCTTGTTTCTTCCCAACAATATTCTACCTACAGAATGGTCACTGGACCCAATGGTGTTTCAGTGATTCTGTTCCCACTGGAGTATTCCAGATCTAGATGCCTTTGCTCCTCAGCCTCAGCTCCTCAGGTTCTAGTGTCCTGTTCCACATCCCTTGGCTGTGGACATCAGTCAGGATTGGATGTGCCTTTACCTGTATGCCTACTCTCCCACCGTTCAACTTCCTGGGTCCTTTCTATCATCCAGACCATTCCATGTTGTGTTCTTTTGGTGACTCCCCTTTGGGCAGCACAATGCAGTGGTTCCCACTACTGCACTGGCTAGTGGTGTCACCTCCTCTTCCACTCCCTCTTTTCCCCACCCTTCTACATCAACCCCTGTCTGGCATACATCATCCTTCCATTCCCACATTCCACCTTCATGCATTGCTTTTTGGCCAGATAGGCCAGCCTTTTACAGTATGTGGCATCCTTGATTTTCCATTCCTTTCATCCTTCCTCAATGGCTGTGTAGTAATGGAAGTGGTACAAGTACCATTGTTGGTCCACACATTGTGTTTGTCCCCTCTTCTCATTCTACACTTCCCCACAACACTTCTTTTCTTACCTGGCTATGCGACAGGGGCCTCACAGTCTCCTCAGTCATGGGCTATTGTGTTGCCTTGTCAGCCATATTTCATTTAACAAGATATGCCCATGTCTTTCATTTGCCTGTTCTTTCTGTTTTGTTTCATTCATTCTCTCTCACCTGTTTTCCTTACCCCTGGCTCTCTCCTGGATTGGAACCTCAGTGTAGTCCTCAATGTCCTTACCCTTCCTCCATTTGAGCCATTGTCCACCTTTTCCATCTACCACCTCTCCTTAAAAACCCTTTTCTTCCTTCTGTTGGGATGCAGATGTCATTGATTGGATGTGTTTGCTATTGGTGTTCACTGCACCTTATTTCACAGTTCCTATGTTGTCCTTTTCCCTGATTGTTTTTCCTGCCTAAGACTTTGGCTGCTAGAGATGGTAATTCTGCCTTCACACCTATCTCCCTTCCTTCCATTTCACACTTTATGACTGCTCTGACTCTGATCACCTCCTCTGCCTGGTCAGGGCTCTCCTCTGTTATGTGGCAAACACTGCTTCCTTCCATGGCTCACATTCCCATTTGTTTATTCTTTGGAATCCTTCCGAGTTCCTAGACCTTTCACTTATTACTCTTATGGGTTAGATTTGCCAGCTTATTTGCCTGTCTTCTTATTCTTTCCCTGGATGATTTTCGTCATTCTGTGTCTCTTCACATCAAATCCATCACATTACCATGTCTCTGGCTGCTTATTTCCATCATTGGAAGAAGACATCATTCTTGCTGGAATGTGGACCATTTCCTTTACCTTCACTGCTCAATATCTTCACCACGTGGCCATTTCCTATTCTACAGGTTTTTGCTGTCACCATTTTGAGCTCCACAATTCCTCTATGAGTGAAAAAGCTCTCTTTTTTTTCTACCTTTTCTTTGTAGGGGCCCTTTTTACATCTCAGGATCCCAGTGGCAAGTGTTGCCTAGCCAGGTATACTTATTCTTAAATCCTCACTGTATGACTTATGTGGCAAATATGCCCACTGTTGAGATGGAGTGTTCCACAAAACCATTGTAGGTATTCTTCATGGTATCTTGTGTCATAAAGACATTCACCCCAGACCATACACTAACGGATTAACATGAGTAAAGCAGACAGGGATTATTGCCCATCCCTGATGATCTATGTATTATAGATCACTGGATTGGTCTGTTTTTTCAAATAAGGTATTGTAGTCACCAATTGCACTGTCTCCAGAGCTGCATTCCTCCAGTCTCTCCAACACACTGCCCCCCCCCCATCTTCTAGTGAAGTATGGGAGTCCTTGCTACCTATCAGTTCTTTGCCACTGAGGTGGTAGAGTATGGAGACTTACTCCTGAGTGATCTCAGTCTTACTCAGTTGAAAGTAGGACAGTGGTGTTCTGCCAGTTTATATGACAATGATTCTCATCCTCCCATGGACTTGATGTACAATTCCAGATGCTGCCAGGAGATGGAAGATGCATTCCACCAACATGCAATTTACCCCTCTGGCTGGGGCACACTCCTTCCTACCATCCTCCAGATGTTGGTTCGTGGCAGATATGGTGATAGTTGGAGATGAACCAGCCACATAAGTCCTTACTTATGTGTGGCTAGGTACCCTCCTTCTACGAAAAACTGGATGATAAATTCCCAATGTTCCATGGTGCTGGACTGGAGATGAACCCCACTTTGCTGTCCACCTTCCTACTGTCCTCCTGATGTCAGTTCCTGGCAGATATGGTACTGGTTATGTTAAATGTGCACACATAATGATGTGGCTCCTCTTCTCTGCCAGTTCCCATATCTGAGAGGAAAGGTAGAGGTCCCTTTTCCTATTGTGGGCCAGATATTCCTATCATGGTTCGACTGGTATTGGTTTAGGTAGATCTGTTTACACTCTAATGTACCCTACCCACTCTATACCATTGGTCCCTTCATTTCATTTATTTAATATTCTCAGCTCCCTCCTTTAATTCTACCCTTCTTGTGACACATTTTCACATTGGCAAAGAGTATACCTGGCTCAGAAGTGGTGCAGTCTTCTATGGATGTGTTGGCTTTCATTTATTCACACATCCCATTGTCTTCCTTTGGGCACTTTCATATTCTCACTGCATCCTCTACCTACTCAATATGGGATTTTAGCTACTTGTGAGAAGAGTTAAATATTGTAATGGAAGTTGATAATTTCCTACACTGAAAATGTATTTCTAATAGATACTTACCACTTCTCACATTTCCCACCTAACCTTCCCACTTCTGGTGATAGTTTTATAGGTACTGGCCAATCTCAAAGTGATTACGGGCTGTCCAGAAAAAAGGGTGCTAGTTACAATAGGTGGGAGTATCAAGGCTGGTGGTGCTTGCAAGTTTTGCATCTATAGACGGCAGTATAAGTTGAGAAAAGCTACTTGTGAGGAGAGAGAGGTAAGTATCCATTGTTGGAAAATGTTAACCTGCATTTGTTTCAGGTTTTTCTTTCTTTTACTTTCAATCAGCCAGTATCACTGCTGCAAGCTAAAACAAAACGGCTACTGACTTCACCAGATGAATCATCTTTACCCTCTTCTCCTAACAAAAAAAAGAAACGAGTTGAGGAAAAACAAGGTCAACCTACATTATACGATATGCTTGGTAACCGACCAATCAAACGACCTCAGTCTGCCTTTAATCTATTCTGTGCTGAAAATCAAACAGAAGGTTAGTATCATGCATTTACTATAACTAAAGCTCATTTGTTCAACGTGCAAAACACTCTAAGTCATTCTGTTGTACCTGAACATCTTCAATACACAAGAGTATAAAACCATTAGAGAACTTTTTTAAGTTACTAATTATGCTATGTTGTATTTTTATAAAATGCTGATTCTTGTTAGACACATTTTATTTGGTTATTTTTTTCTACATTGTAAAAACAATAATCAAAACAATGAAAAAAGACATGCATAAAATATGTTGACCACATAAGTCTGTTTGATGTCTTGGTATTTGGAAGAATAAGCTAATTCTTTCTTTTATAAATATAAAAAATACAGCTAAAATCATATGTGGCTAAATACCAATCAAATGACTGAGGTGTGCAATTAAAAAATTTTATAAATCAAAGTTTAAATTGAGTTTAAACTTTAGTTTAAAAATGAAACGGGAAGACTTTAAATAAAATGTTGTTACGTAGGAGATTTTTTTCTTAAAAAATATATATTTAATGTTTCTGAATTTCTAGAAATGAATATACTTGTATTTCTTTGTTTACAATTTATCTAGTAACTTTTCAAGACAAGTGCTCAAGTTCAGAATCATTCAAGGAAATTCTCAAGCAAAAGTGGGAAAACCTTCCGGACAAACAAAAGATGAAATATCATATAATGGCTGAAAGAGATGCTAAGAGGTATGTTTTATTGTGAACGTCATAAAGGTATAACTTTTTTGGTAGAAATATAACATTGAAAACTGCTGTAGCTTATTAATTATATTGTAGTATCAAAAAATAATATAAATATTAATTTTTTTCAGATAAATATATATATTTTTTAATTCTGAGGGAATTTGATGCGTAGAGCCATAACTGGTAACTTAAAGTTTGCTAAAATGCTGTTTCTCATATAACCAATGCTCATTATTTTGAGATGGTATTTCCAAATAAATACTACTATTATTACTGTTAAAGCAGTTGGAGAAACTATTATTTTAATGGTGCAAGACGTCATGCAACTTTAAGTTTTCTTCAGTCTAACAAAGCTTCGAATGAAATGCCCTTTTATTTTAAAATTTGATGCTCTTTAAACTTGGTAAAGATTGATGGATCTAGTACTATGGGTTTGTTATCATGGGTCATTATAAATACTGATAGGTGTGTACAATTGGTGTACAGGATACTCACTTACTTGTAGTCTAAAGAAATTCAGTCATGACACTTCACTTGTATTCATTATTAATGAATGAAACTAAATATAAGTTCTACTTAAGATTATGAATTTTGATCAGAATTTGCTTTGAAGATTTTTTTTTTTTCTGCTGAGTTCCATCAGTTTCACCAAATACTCGAAATCAAACATTTGATACAGAAGTAGATTTTGTAATTTCAAATTGAATACACTTTTGATAATTATGGAAATATGAAAGTGTCATCACATCCAATATTTGAGCTATCACTAAAGGTTGAGTATTCAAATTGGCAAGTTTTAATCACGTAATATAAAGTTTAGGTTTCTGTATATGATAGTTTGTCATGTTTTCTTGTCCTGAGAGGGTATATGTAAGTAAATGTAATGTAGGGAAAATATGAAATTCTTCTATTTACTGAACACTAATTTTTCAGGTATAAAATAAGCATGGAGAAGAAGGTAAGGTACACGTGAAACAATGTCCAAATTGTGTAATTGTCACAAATATGTTTAAAAATTGGATTTCAAAAACATTTGCTCATCAGTTGGTTTATAAAAATATCAATTATCCCACAGCATTCAACTATTTGTGCGCACCTTAGCAGTAAACATTAAGGAACTTTCCAAGATGATAACTCTCCTGTTCACACAGAACTACTACATTCTTCACATGTCTGCCTAAGAGATTTGCATCCACTAGCCTTGATGTAACTCCCACCTAAATTGACATGTTTTATGTGAATTGCACTGTTACGTTATAGTGCTGTCATGTGACAACCTCTTGTGTGCAAGTGCTTCGATGGTCATGTTCTCATTGTGCCCTTCCCTGTGACATATGGGGCTAATTTGCCTCTTCCCTTCCCCCTTACATTCTAGGCAAAACGTATGCCCTGGTCAAGATGAGATGAGGTCTCCCATGGGAATGCTTTTGTGGAGCCTCTACTATTGGGTGTCACCTTTCAGGTGCTTTCTGAAGGGAAATCATCTAGGTAAAGTTTTTGCACTAGCCCCACCACCAATTCGACATGGGATTTTAGCATTTCTGTGTGAAATGGTGAGTTATCATTCCAGAGATAATATTTTCATAATATGAATGATGCTAGAAAAACACATAGATTCAAGAAGTCTTGATAGAAATGAATAAAAACCCTATAACCTGAATGCTTTTGAAAGGTGGACCTTTCTTCTTCAGGGGCAAACAGTTTGCTCAGGTTATAGTATTTTTATTCATTCCTAATATGAAACTGTGCTTCTGATGGATACTCACCTATCCTCCCCTGTGAAGTTTTTTTTACAAGTACAAGTGCACAGAGGGAGTTACTGCTCATGTAGGTTGTGTTTCCCTCCTATTGGTGGAGAATTTTTGTTGCATGATGATGCTATCATGCACCACTGCAGTTCATGTAAAATATGTGAATTTAGGTGAGAGTTACTTCAAGGCTAGTGGCATGCAAATCCCTTAGGCAGACACACAATGAAGATAGTATTTCTGTGTGAAGAGGTATCTATCAGAAATGCATTTTCAGATTAGGAAAATGTTAACTCCCCAGTTCACGTACATTTTCACTAAATTTGCTTTCCATCCAGTTTGAACTAATATCATTACAGTATTACAGCAGTTGAACCACATATAAGTTCAGTATTTGTAAAACACACTAGTTTTGCTCATGAATTCTTATCAGAGCTTTGTTCAAACATCTCTGATATTTCTTTCATGCGGCCAGTTTAAAATTATCCAACAATTTAATTTTTTTTATAAAAAGCAGTTTAAGATTTTAAGCTTTTATAAGCTTCCCTTAGGGTGGCATTTATTTTGCTCAGTAATATTTTGAAGCTATACCAGTGTACATATGATTGTTATGACAAATCTCTCGGAGCAAGATGCATTAACAATACAAAACATCATTAAAATCCTTTAGTTCCAGATATTATATCTGTTATAAGTTTTAATAATTATGAATAATTTACTGACAGAAACAGCACACATGCTAATCGTGCTCTGACGGTGCTAGCCAATATGGTTAGAGTTGAGTTTAATTGGTCTTTGAGATACAGGTGTGCCATGGCCACATATTCAAAAGATGTTAAATTTAACTGACTTTGAATGGGTCTCAGTAGGATCTTTGAGTAGCATATTGATGTAACTTTGTGTTTATTGAAAATTGTGTTTATTGTTAGTAGTAGGAACATAAGAATGACTTGTAAATATATTTTTCGAAGATGTAGAGGAATTAGTATTTAAATGTTTGAAGACAAACTCAAACCTAACACAAAGAAACAACACTGTGATATGCTTTTTATGGAATTAGCTATGTTGCTGATATCGGTATGACCATCCATTTATCAGCAGTGAGGTTAAGCATGTATGATTTACATTTATTTTAAATGGTAAAAAAACAGGTTACTCAAACATTTAATGATGTTATTTTAACCATGAATAAATTATTTATATGGTTTGAATTTGAAAAAATAATTCATCTGAAACAGAGGAGTTCATGTTTTATACTTTTAGTGTGCCAATTTTCTGAGCAACCATATCACTTGGAATGAATATTTCATACTTACACTTTTATTACTTTTTTGACTTCTGGTTTCTTAGGGAATGGATATAGGAGAGAAAATGTCAAAGATCAGTACTTACAGTGTGAAATCCTTGAACTGTTAGTCCTTCTACAGAAAGGAATCACATAAATCAATTATCTTAGAACTGACTTTGGAGTTCTTAGATTCTTACAGATCCCCCAAGAGCAGATTTTATCTTTTTAAAAGAAACTTTCTCTATCAAACTCTACAGCAAGTTTCATAATGTTTCATTTACTCTGTATTTAAGAATAAATCCAACAGCCAAGATGATTAGAGCTCTTATTTAATGCCATCACAATGCAGCACATGTATAAACATGCCTTCTGTAAGTTTATATTGATTTCTTTATAAAACTGTTAAGTTCTTCTTCTTAAATGTTCTTTTCTTTAGAACAGTAACATAAATTGCTTTTACATTATATTAAGCCTCATAAAGTACTTTATAACTTGTAAGACATTTTTTAGTATTTTCTTTTTGTCACTTAAAGCTACATAAGGTTGTTTTAACAAAATCTGTATACCCTTCCAGACTTATAAAGTTCTACATTGTCTCTCTGTTTCAATTAATCTACTGTTGTTTCTTTTTTATTACTTGTATACACTGCATATCTGTTGGTTTACACATTTATGCCAGTCCTGTGAGATTAATTTGTTGTAGGATAGTTCTCGCCTTTAATATATTACAATATGTAAAAAATTAGTTTGGCCTATTTATAAAAAATACGGAAGTCTTTCACAAAAGGTTTGGCAGAATATTGCAATATTATTAAGTTTTTTCAACCACTGGATAACCATAAATTGAAAATTCTAAATGGTATAAAATCTTGCAATGTGTATTAAAGTGATTTGGCATACATTTACATGTACAGAAATTTGTACTTGTAAATACTTGAAATATAAGAAGAGAAACTTACTTTGATATATTACTAGATGATACTGGTTAAAAATATTTTATTGTAAAAAATCTACCTTCTTATACTGGATATTGATTTAGCTTAGTTATACAAAATGTAATGTTTATTCATTATTAAATGACAACAAATATTTAGGACAGTCAGTCCAGTTTAAGTCACTAGATTGTAAACCAATTTAAATGTAAGCTTTGCCACATTAAAAAAATCTTTAATTTTTGAAGGTATAACAAGGAAGTTATTCATGCTGAGAAACAAAATGCTCAAAGGAAGAAAGATGTTAAGACGTCTAACAAATCCAAACACTATCCAGATGAAGTGACTGTTGAATTTGATATCAACAAACTCAATGAAAAACTTAAACATAAGCAGCAGTAAGTAATTGAATCTGTGCATTGTTTAATAGTTAGTTAAATATAAGTAATGCCATGACTGAATCAGTACATTGTTAGTTCCATATTATTATCTGTAAAACATTGTGATGGTAGACTAAAAAGGGCTGAATACACAAGTTAAACTTTAATCTATCATTCTAACATTAATAAAATTACTCAGGCTGTCATAAAAAATAATTTTTTTTGTGTTGTTCTTGATCCTTATAGATATAAACAGCTCATTTGTTATTATTGGTAACTTACAATTGCACGTATACAGCGGGTCAATTTAACTAGGCACAAGTATTGATATACTGCAGGTAATGTCATGAAAAGAGTATGTTTCAGTTATTTGCATCACCTGAGATAACATTTTCTTCAATATAGAATGTGTTTATAATTATAACTTAAGGATGCAGTTGTCTCAGTTTGCTTTCTTAAAATTGCATATTACACATTCAAAAAATAATTTCGTTGGTGATAGTAAGCATTAACTTGTGTAAGACTTCAAATGTAATCTTGAGTTGGACATGGACTTTGTTCAATACTTTTACTTGTATTTCTATTTCTAAGCTTTTGTATCATCTGAAACAAAAAGCAAAAAATTAACTTGCTTAATTTTAAAGGTACATTTTGAAGCAGAAAATTCTGTCTTTCATATGTTTGAGTTATGGATGTGTAAAGTGTAGAAGTTAGATCCATAACACTTGCAAAAGTAACATGATGTTGATGATGATAGGCAGAAAATTATGAAAAAAATAAACCTCACATATCTTTTTATCATTATATATTAACCGAAATGACCAATAGTTATGAAAACATTGAATTATAGTAAATGTTTTTAACAGATTTTATTCTTTAATAGTTTTTCTTTATTGTATACTTTTTGTATAAAATGTGGGCATATAAATGTTAGATTAGGCCCTAACTCAGTTAGTTCTTTTGACAATTTTACTGTAAGGTTATTTGATGGTATAGAATTCTTGGGCATTCAACTTTTTTTTTAATATTGTTTCAAAATATTAGTTGAAAGTACTTTGACCTTGTACTTAATTTTCACATTTTCTTTGTTAAATATTTCAATTAATTTCACATTTCCTTGTACAGTTGGCATTTTAAACCATCTGATGGTTTGTCATGGAGCTCATTATATTACACTGTGGATTTATGGGTTGCTATATGTGAATGTGTTACATTTTATAAGTGGCCAGACAGATTGTAGACAATATTGTTTTTATAATGAGTATGTACATATATTGCTTTTGATGAATATTTAAGTTGTTTACAAGCCATTACAAATTGTATTTTGATGCAAATTGTTGTGGGTTTTATGTGTATTTTTTACACATTGCTGTAAGTTAGCTTGACATAATTTGTGAATGATACAAGTAGATTTTCTCTATACATAGGAGTACTATGATAGACACAGATTTGATTTTGATTGGTCAGTTGCCATCAAGTGGAATGTGGCTCTGCATTCAAAATAGCCAGGTGATGATAATTAATCACTTTCGCATGCAAGAAGCCTTACTTTATCATCGACTGGTTGCCAGCCACTCTCTTGAAGTAGAGAAGTTACAGGAACCAATCCTTTTAACACAAAAGTATGTTTTTTGGTGTGTTTTAATAAACCTGTAAATCATAGCAGATATTAAAATTATGTAATTGCAGTAGCTTGATTTTTAATATTTGTGGTACAACATAAGATAATGTTTTGGAACAACATGGGACCTATTGGTCCATCCTCTAAACTAACTTAAAATAGTTACAAAAATAATCTTAAAGCCAACCCTTATCATTCATTTACTTATCAAGCTTTTTCTTAAACTCACTTAAATTTGCTGCCTTTACAACATCTAAAGGCCAACCATCCTGTTAGAAAAATAAGACTGTCATAGCTGAATATAACTTCTACCCTGCCAAAATATATACTTGTGTCCCCTAGTCCTACTATTCTCACTATTGAAAAAGATTATGCGTCAACACTATCAATTCCCTTTACAATCTTAAACACCTCACTCAGATCCCCCTAACTCTTCTTTTTTCAAGAGAAACCAATTTGAGAGATTTCAGCCTCTCGTCATATGACAACCCCTCCATCCCAAGCACCATTCTAGTAACCCTTCTCTGAACACTTTCTAACAATTCAATGTTCTTCCTAATGTAAGGAGCCAAAGACTGAACACAATATTCCAAATGTGGCCTAACCGGTGACCTGTACAATGAAATTATAATCTCTTTAGACTTGTATTCAATATCCTATTTGTCTTACCACTAACAACAGCACACTGCTTGGGTGGATTTAAAGACTGATCGACTATTACACCAAAACATAACACTGTTAAGGTTATTCTCATCCAAATTGTATTTACAAATTATGATAACCCATATGCATTATCATGCATTTATTATAAATAAAACTCATCTGCCACACTGTGAGAAAAATGAAACTGTCTTAGCTGAAGATG